TTTGAGTGAATTTCCCAATTTCTTTAGAGAGTCAAGGGATTTAGAAGAATTAGACCTTTCAAATAACAATGTGTCTTGGAGAACAAATATCAATGTCAGTTGTATATTCCCTAAACTACAATATTTGTGTTTGTCTTCTTCTAATTTGAGTGAATTTCCCAATTTCTTTAGAGAGTCAAGTGATTTAAAAAAATTAGACCTTTCAAATAACAATGTGTCTTGGAGAACAAATATCAATGTCAGTTGTACATTCCCTAAACTACGATATTTGTATTTGTCTTCTTCTAGTTTGAGTGAATTTCCCAATTGCTTAAGAGACTTAAGTGATTTGGTAGGTTTAGACCTTTCAAATAACAATGTGTCTTGGAGGACAAATATCAATGTCAACCATACATTCCCTAAACTACGATTTTTGTATTTGTCTTCTTCTAATTTGAGTCAATTTCCCGATTTCTTAAGAGAGTCAAGTGATTTAGAAAGATTAGACCTTTCAAATAATAAGATTGAAGGCCAAATTCCTGAATGGATGTGGAATGTGGGGAAGGATACTTTGAATTATCTAAATCTTTCTCACAACTCCTTGATGGCTTTAGAGCAGATCCCTTGGAGGAACATGCAAATTCTTGACTTCCGATCCAATATGCTTCGAGGAGTATTTCCAGTTCCACCAATTGAAATGGTCTACCTTTTAATCTCAAACAATCACTTGTTTGGGGAGATTTCTTCTGAACTTTGCAAAGCTAATTCCCTTGAAATTCTCGACCTTTCACACAACAACTTAAGTGGGGTGATTCCTAATTGTCTTCCTGACTTGAGCAAAAATCTTTTTGTGTTGAATTTGCAAGTGAATAGGTTTCGTGGAAATATGCCATCAATGTTTCCAAAGGGATGCAAAATACAAAATTTCAATTTGCATGGAAATCAAATGGAAGGCCTATTACCTAGATCCTTGGTGAATTGTAGCATGTTAGAGGTTCTAGACATTGGCAACAACAACATAAAGGACACATTTCCCTATTGGTTGGAATCACTTCCCAAGCTGCAAGTGCTTATTCTAAGGTCAAACAAATTTCATGGTTTTGTGAGCAACACCAAAGCAAATTCATCTTTCTCCAAGTTACGGGTTTTGGACCTATCTGACAATAATTTTGTTGGTCCTTTGCCTATGCACTACATTGAAAATCTCAAAGCTATGGTAAATGCTCACGAAGATGGCAACTCCGCACAATACATGGGGGAAAGATACATGGGGGAAAGATACATGGGGAGAAGTTTCTCATATGAATTTTCAATAGTTGTGATATTGAAAGGATTGAGCATTGAAATGGAGAAAGTTTTGACCGTATTTACAAGCTTTGATCTCTCAAAAAACAAGTTTGCGAGAGAGATTCCAAAGGTTATTGGGAAGCTTAGTTCTCTTAAAGGACTTAATCTTTCCTATAACAACTTTAGTGGTCAGATTCCACATTCACTTCAGAACTTGACCAATCTCGAATGGTTGGACCTATCTTCCAATGAGCTGGTCGGGGAAATTCCACAGGAGTTGGTATCTTTGACATCACTCTCTGTTCTAAACCTTTCCAATAATCAACTTGTCGGATGTATACCACAAGGCAATCAATTCAACACCTTTGGAAACAGTTCGTATGAGGGAAACCTTAGATTATATGGATTTCCATTAACAAAATCTTGTGATGGAAATGGGCTGCCGCAACAACCACCAAGCTCCTTCCATGGAAAAGATCATGAGTTATGGGAATTTGGTTGGAGAGTTGTGCTTCTAGGGTATGGATGTGGATTTGTGTTTGGACTACTAATAGGGTATCTTACCTTCCATAATGGA